AAAAAAAAAAAAAATTTTTTTAAAAAATAAACAAAAAAAAAAAAAGAAAAAAAAAAATAAAAAAAAAAAAAATTTTTTTAAAAAATAAACAAAAAAAAAAAAAGAAAAAAAAAAATAAAAAAAAAAAAAATTTTTTTAAAAAATAAACAAAAAAAAAAAAAGGCTTAAGATTTAACATCAACATCAAATCTCAACCAAAGCATATAAAATTCAACTAAAAGAAATATAGTGCAAGATGTTAACAATCTAACAAATGAACTAAATCATGCAAAATTCAAGTCACTCTCTGGAAAACCTATAATAAACATATAATAAACATTTATTTATTATTTTTTATTTAACATTTCTCAATATACTGTATAAAATTTAACAAATATCAAGACAACATCCAATTCTGTGTATTGTAACATCAGTTGTGTAACTTATTTCTTTATGGTGAAAACTCTTGAAAACAACAAGACTGTTTTGTCTTATTGCACAAATTAATATCCAGCTCCACATATTTCTATTGATGTCATTTTCCCACTAGAAAAATGTGTGATGGAGGTCCATGGAAGGCAAATAAGTTTAAATCAAATAAACAAAAGAGGATGCAGTTAAAATAAATAAAAGGTATTTAAGCTACGTTTTGAACATCCAAAACACGTCCAACACTTGTTGGCTGCTTGTGCTCTTTAGGTCAGACGTGTGTCGGGAAGCTCCTCTGTTGTTTGAGACGCTGGGGGAACCGTCTGGGGGAACGCAGCTCAACCTAACACCGGTCTCTGTTTAATGGTGGATGAAATAAAGAAAGTGGCGGTACTTTATTTACTTTGAGCAAGCAAACGTCATGTTCACAATATAATTAATCCACCAGATAATTTAGAGGCGGTCTGTTAGGTAAATTTTACTCCAGGAGCTGCGAGGTTGTTTTCAAGCTTCAGACTGACCTGAAGCAGCGGCTGCTGACGTCGTTACGCTCTTGCGCGATGCTGCATTCAGGACAAGCATGGAAAACTCACCACTCTTATGCCAATACGGTCGCAATGATGCATTTAGGTACCGAAATGGAATTGCATGAACATTCACGTGGTGGTTATGTAATAGAGCAAATCGATAATAAAAAATCTGCGTCGACAAATTTACATAATCGACATCATCAATTATTTCAACTAATCGGTGCAGCCCTAGATGAGTGTCATTAAGGTTTGTATCGATACTACTGCTCTTATCGGTATTGCTTATAGATCCGATTTAAATCTTTCTAACTTCACATGATGTCTTCAGCTACACAAGTCCAGTTGCTTCATCTTATTTTCTCTCAATTTTCCATGTCCTGGATGACTGATAATCCACAGAAACGCAATAGAAACGTCGAGTGGTTGCAGATCGCATCAATGCTAAAGTTAATCAGTACTTTAGTTTAAACACAGCGCTTTGTTCCAAAAATAAAATGCTGCACCGGAGAATCTGGTCAGAAGCAGGTTCAGTTATAAACACTGAACTAAACAAGCATGTCAGATAATTATTTAATGGGCTCTTCTGGCTACTTACAGCGGGTAAAATAAGTATTGAACACGTCAACATTTTTCTCAGTAAATATATTACTAGAAGTGCTAATGACATGAAATGTCGGTAACAACCCAAGTGATCCATACATACAAAGAAATCAAACCATAAATGTCCAGAAAAGAAGTTATTTATAGTAATGTGGAATGGTACAGGGAAAAAGTATTGAACACACTTACTGAAATTTATCTAATACTTTGTACAAAAGCCTTTGTTGGCAATGACAGCTTCAAGACCCCTCCTGTATGGAGAAACTAGTGGCATGCATTGCTCAGGTGTGATTTTGGCCCATTCTTCCACACAAACAGTCTTCAAATCTTGAAGGT